TTACCGGTAGTTCTGCTGGTTCCTGGACCGTACAAAGAATTCTGTATGAAGGCTTTGGCTGCTTGTTGCCTTGAATCTCTCAGATCTTGATCTTTTAGCCTTAGAGCTAAGTAGCTTTTATTCTGGCTGGTGATCAACACAAAAGGTCAAATGAATGAGGTTGATAACACACTCGCTTTCAAAATATTTTTATTAGTTGTCTCAAAAAGTGAAATAAACCCAAATCCTAATCTTATACACAGATAAGATAATGAACCAAAACTAAATTCTAGGGCTGTTTTGTAAGAAATAGATTAATGATCACATTTTATTAGAGGAAATGTTAAGTATCAAAATGGGTTTCCCCACAGAGGATCCAGTCTGGAACTGGTACTAATTAAAATATTTTCCCACATAAGCCAAAACTTGAACTCTTCAAAAGGTCACTTCTACATTCTACATGAAAGGAGATGACTTCTTACCCAACAGATTGTACTTTCTGCACTTGAGCTTTCTTGGAGTTGCTTCCTTTTTCACATTCTTCATTTTTCTTTTGCAGCAAACTAACTGAAAAATTGAGTTTCATTTCTAATTAGCACTTACATAAAAATAAATCAAGATATTTACTGGAATTCACTTTAAACATCCACTACACACCAGTTTGGTTGCAGTTTTTATTTCAAAGACATACAGGGAGCAGGCCCAAGCTCAACCTGGCCAGGCCTCATGAGCCCACACTCTCTTATCATGTAGTAAATTTGACTGCAAATACCAGCAGATGAATTGTAACACCTACAGGAGCAGCTGTTTAAATTAGAACAGTTCATACCTTCTTTCAACTTTCCTGGTGATTTCTTTATGCTAAGGAAGAACAAAAAAAAAAACACATTGGAATGTCAGACAGCAAAGATTACTCAACTTCTTATATAGCTGTAAATAAGATAATCCCTTTTCATTACCACTATCCTCAGTTTTTACACAGGATGTTTCTTTCATCAGTTTGGAAAAACAAAAGTCACTGCCCAATGGGCCACCATCAAGTCCCAATCAAGAAGCTAGTGGATGTTAGGATGGGAGTATGTTCTTAGAACTCAGGATCTGAAAGCTTATCGTAAGGCTTCCAAAGATGCAGACTGCTGTGGTTATCAGAATTACAGTGACTTAGGAATGAGTTATGTGATACAGTGTTTATGATATTAAATGAAAGGTGGTAAGCCTGCCTCATTTTATCTGGAGAAATCACACATGATTAATTCAACAGTTTGGGCACAAGACACAAGGAGTAGCCTCAAGAAGTCTGGTCTAATGGAGAGACAAATATAAACTGACAGTACAGTAAGAGACGCCTATAAAAGCATTTGCAGAGCAGAGAGCTATACAGAGGAGGAAATGATGGGCGGGGAGAGTGAGAGAAGGGAGAAGTGACATTTGATCTTGGTTTTGAAAGATGAAATGCCATCAAACATATTTGTTTGTTTAATGGATTCAGGATCTGAGTAACTCGTTGGA